AAAAAAAAAAAAAAAAAAACTTAAAGCACAAAGTAGTTCTCCCTGGGAGCTGTAAAAAACAACTTTGGTTAAGTGACTGGATACACAATAAATATCCAAAGTCAATAGCTTAAAAAGATATTGTTATAAAGATTTTCTCCTTACATACTAATATATAAAGTATATGCAATTCTAATCAGTCCCAGTCTACCGTTTTTAAAAATAGATTTATGTAAGTTACTCATTGATGTTTAGAGTTAATATAGAAAAATAAATGAGCCAAGAAAATTGAGTAAGAGTTAGGGTACTTCCCCATAGACATTAAAACTTAATAAGTAAAATATTATGGCCCCTAAGCAAAAATAGGCCAATTAATGCAATAATGGCCCAAATATAGTGTATATAAGGATGTAATATGTTAATTTTAAAAATAAAAAAATCTGTGTGGAAGAGGATTAACATTTTTATTTTCAAACAGCATTAAACAATTATAAGACTGGTTAATCTTTAACTTACTGCAAACTAATGTGAAGTGATCATAAGACCCCAATAGAAAAAAATTGTAAATGTACTTGAGTAAACATTTAAGTAGCTAATACAAGCGACCAATAATTCTATTTTTAAGTGTTTAACATCATAAATATAGGGAAATGTGAATTAAATGGCCATTTTTTAAAAAATTCTTGTATATCAAGTAAATGTTAATATGCTTTCACCAAATAATTTCAGTTTTAGGACTCTGTTAAAGGAAGCTATCAGAAATTCAAGCCAAGATTTATGTACAGCTATCTTTAACATAACATTGACAAAGCTAGGTACATTTTAGAGATTTTGAAATATATAAAATGTGAAAAAGGATTATATTATCTCTGGGTGGCAAAGTTACAAATGTTATTTTATTTATACTTTCAATTTTTTAAAATATGCATGTGTTACGTGATTTTTTAAGAGACAGGGTCTTGCTCTCTCCACCCAGGCTGGAATGCATGGCTCACTGCAGCCTCTAACTCCTGGGCTCCATTAGTTACTTTTTTTTTTTATGGACTTTATTTTTTAGAGCAGTTTTGGGTTCACAAGATCAAGAGATCTTATGTACATTTCCTGTTCTAACACTCATAGCCTCCTCCATGATCAGTATACCCCTCACAGTGGTATACATCTTACAGTTGATGAACTTGCATTGACACATCATTGTCACCCAAAATGCATAGTTTACATTAGGGTTCACTATGGGTATTGTACGTTCTGTGGGTTTGGACAAATGTATAATGATGTGTTTACAATTATATATCATACAGAATAAAAAACCTGCACCACTTAGTCATTCTTCTTTTCCTCCATTCCTGGCAACCACTGTTTTTTTTTTTTTTTTTTTTTTTTTATTGCCTCCACAGTTTTGCCTTTTCTAGAATGTCATGTACTTAGAATCATAACTGTGTGGCTTTTCAGATTGGCTTCTTTCACTTAACAATATGCATTTATAATTCCTTTATGTCTTTTTGTAGCTCGATAGCTCACTTGTTTTTAGTGCCAAGTAATACTCCGTTACCTAATTTTGCCAGTTGATTTACACATTCACCTACTGAAGGGCATTTTGGTTGCTTCCAAGTTATGACTATTAGGAATAAAGCTGCTATAAACATACAGGTTTGTGTGTGGATATAAGTTTTCAACTCCTTTGGGTAATACTAAGGAGCACAATTACCAGATCGTATGGTAAGAGAATATTCACTTTTGTAAGAAACTGCCAAACTGTGTTTCAAAGTGACTGTATCATTTTGCATTCCCACCAGCAAAGAGTGAGAGATTGTATCGTTCCACAGCCTCATCAGCATTTGATGTCATTGTTGTGGATTTTTGCCATTCTACTAGGTGTTTTACTTAAGTCAAAAACCAAAACAAAAATGACTTTCAATTAAAGAAAAATAAAATACAGCTCTTTTATTTTGTATAGTTGGCGAGCTTTAGCCCCTCTCCTCCCCCTCCTCCATACCCTACCACTGTTGGACCAGTAGAGAGTAGTGGATTGAGATCTCGCTACCGTTCTTCACCCACCGTCTACAACTCACCCACTGACAAAGAAGACTACATGACCGACCTACGAACTTTGGATACTTTCCTTAGAAATGAAGAAGAGAAGCAGCATAGGGTTAAGCTGGGTACATATATATTTTATTTATACCTATTATACATATTTTTGGTGTCACTTAGTCCTTAACCTATTATTTTCATCATTTTAATATTCATGCATAAAATTTAAAGTCTCTTTTACTAATATACTTTGTTAGCTTGAAGAGAAACACATTTTGTTTTACTTTAAATGTAACAATTTTATGCAGTTAGAATTAAGGTCACTAAATTCAAGAAGTGAAATATAGATAAACTAAGAAATCTTGAAACTTTCGTCTACGATAAGATTGAAAGCTTTTTTGCATAATGTAAGTTACAATTTCTATTTAAAGTTGAGGCTATAAAATAATGTTTTGAAGCAGTGCATAGTGAACTTACTCAAATTATAGCTGTCTCTTTTCAGGTAGTCCTTTGGAAAGTTGGCGTGACACAGCAGGATGAGAGAGCGTGTATTTCCTCTAGAAGCACTGCTGTTTTTCAGAACATTTTAAAACTGTCTTTTAGTATTTCCTGAAGGTATAGTTTACCTTGGGAAAGAGTGTTAGCAAATCTTAATCTGTTTGGGCTGGATTTGATTATTACAGAGTCAATTATTTGAAACCGAATTAGGTTATTGAACTGAGTAATGATTTTTCCCCTCAGGAACATTCACAGAAAGGATATTAGGTGCTAACTGGGCCATGGTCAGGAAGCCAGTTATTGGACCATGGCTCTTTGTGTCGCTTGAAGTCTCACCAGTGATTTTTAATTTAATTTTGCCTGAAAGTGCCACAGATGTTACAGAAGCCAATCAATATTATCTTCTTATTTTTGATACCTGGTTTTAAAAAAAATTTTGAAATACTTTGAGTCTACTGAAACTAATATAGAGGATTACACAAAGAGCCTATGAATCCTCTACACATCTTTGTATTACCCACATATTTTCTGACTTCACTTTTATTCTTTGACCCAGTAGGAGCTATTTAGAAGTAATATCATTATTGTTTGGAAGTGTTAGTGGTGTTGCTTTTAATTTTCAAGCCTGAAGCGGCTTGGTTACGTTTTTTTTCTCCTAAGTTAATTTTACTGTGGTGAGAGAACCTGATCTGTACCCATTAACTTTTTGTTTGTTCAAGACTTGCTTTTAAGTCTATGTGATTGCTTTCTGCAAATGACTTTGGTATATTGAACAGAATGCAATCTCTAAATTTGGGGCTCTCTGTTCACTGTCACGCTTCTTGATGGTATTCTTAAATTTTTTTTTTTAATCAAAGCTACTGCAAATCAATTAAATTCTTTATCTTACTAATTTTTATCTGCTTGATCTGTTGATTATTAGGAAAGTATGTCAAAAGCTCTCAATGATTGTCTTCCGTTAAATGTTTTCTCACAATTCTGTCAGATTTGCTAAATATACATATGAGATTATGTTAAATGAATGTAAATTCGGAATTGTGAATATCATTCTGGTAAATTTGCCTTTTATCTTTATCTCTTAGGCTTTTTGCCTTAAAGTCTATTTCGTCTGACATCGATACATCTATATTAATTTCCTTTTGGTCAGGACCTGGCTGGTTTATCTGTCTCTGTCCCTATACTTTTCACCCTTCTGTGCCCATAGATTTTTAAAAATTAAGTATTTTGTGCAAATTAATTAATAAATGATTAATAAGTATTTTATGGGAAGCTACTCTAAAACTATATGTATATACTGTTCCCCATCAGACTTTCTTTTTTTGTTTTTTATTTTTTTGTTTTTTTGTTTGTAGAATTGGTCTCACTCTGTTGCCCAGGCTAGAGTGCAGTGGTACAATCTTGGCTCACTGTAGCTTTGAATTCAGGTCTCAGGTGCCTCTCCCACCTCAGCCCCCTGAGTAGCTGGGACTACAGATGTGCGCCACCATGCCATGCTAATCTTTGTGTTTTTAGTAGAGACAGGGTTTTGCCGTGTTGCTCAGGCTGGTCTCGAATTCCTGAGCTCACACAATCCACCCACTTTGGCCTCCAAAAGTGCTGAGATTACAGACGTGAGCCATTGTGCCCAACCCCATCAAACTTTGACTTGGTAGTTCTGACATCCTTTTAAGATTCTTTTCTAAATTATTTCTATGTTGGTTGTCATGGGAGCTTTCCCATTTCATCATTTCTTCTGTATTCCTTTAATACTTTTCCTTTTTTTTTTTTTTTTAACTGTAATAAAATTTAGTATACATAAAATTTATAAAATTAGCCCTTTTTTTTTTGAGGTGGAGTCTTGCTCTGTCACCCAGGCTGGGGTGCAATGGTGTGATCTTGGCTCACTGCAACCTCTGCCTCCCAGATTCAAGCAATTCACCCTCAACCTCCCAAGTAACTGGGATTACAGGCACCCACCACCACTCCTGACTAATTTTTGTATGCTTAGTAGAGACGGGGTTTCACCACGTTGGCCAGGTTGGTCTCAAACTCCTGACCTCAGGTGATCCACCTGCGTGGGCCTCCCAAAGTGCTGGGATTACAGGTATGAGCTACTGCGCCTGGCTCAATGTTAGCCATTTTAAGTATTTAATTAAGTGGTGTTAAGTACATTTACATTACTGTGCAGCCACCTTTTACATTTATTTGTTGGTACTCTGTAAGATAAAGGTTCCCTCTCCCTAGTCATGTCACTTATGTTGATGATTAGATTGTCCCAGATTTGGCTAGTGAGATCCTCTGTAAGCCGGCTTTTCTGTTCTTTTGACGTGACACTATCATTCTTTGAGCTAATCCCCCTGCCCCTATTCTGTTTTACCCTTACCCTAGCTTGTTTGGTTTAGTCACTGAGGACTCATGGTCAGCTCTTTTTTTAGCAATGTCTAAACTGTTTTTTAACTAATTCATTGAGTTTCTTAATTTCAGTCGCTTGTTTTCATTTTATAGTTTTATTTGGTTCTTTTCAAATATGCCACATTTTTTGTAGAATATTCTTTATTCTTCTGTTTTCAGTTCCTTTTTTTCTATCTCAGTTGCTTAAAAGCACTTATTTAAATAGTTGAGTTATCTAAAGTTCTTAGAGGTTAAATACTGACCATTTTTGTCTTGTTAGTTGTTATGCCTGGAGGCTTGTTTCCTTGCGATTTATGGAATTTCTGTGTGTTTCTGGTAAGCTTATCTTGGCTGAATGGAAGCCCTGTTTCTTCCTAGCTGTTTTGTATTTTGCCTCTGTCCGGTGCCTTAGAAGTGTTATTGCCCTTTAGCTAACTTAAGTGATTTCTAAGCCTGGAGATTCCTGGACCTCAAAGCTAATATAAATGGGCACTCTAAACCCATTCAAAGATGTATCTATAATTTTTAAATCAGAGTTTTTTGTTTTTTCAAATTGTCCAACAGCATATGACAGACAAGCTTCCATTATCTCCTGGTCCCAGTGAACAGATTTTTTTTTTTATCTGCTCAGAATGTGGCCCTTTGAGATTCCTGGTCCTCTAGCAGGAGCAGGGACTAAGGGTGGGAGAACGGTGTCAGCCCAACTCTCTACTTCTTATGGACCCAAATCCTTATGTCCATTTCCCACTTGGGCAATAAATTCCAAACTGATATATTTCTCAAGGCCTACAAAATTCTCTAGAGCAGCCACAGCATTCTCTTACAGGCTATTTTGATTTTTAATTCCTTTTTCATTTTTAACCACTGACTCTTCATAGCCTTACTTCTTTGCAAGCTCCATTATTCATTTAAATAATGTTTTTTTCTTTTGTTTTGTTTTTGAGATGGAGTCTAGCTCTGTTGCTAAGGCTGGAGTGCAGTGGGGCAATCTTGGCTCACTGAAACCTTTGCCTCTTGGGTTCAAGCAGTTCTCCTGCCCTAGTCTTTCTGAGTAGCTAGGATTACAGGCATCTGCCACCACACCTGGCTAATTTTTGTGTTTTTAGTAGAGTTGGGGTTTCACCATGTTGGCCAGGCTGGTCTCGAACTCCTGACCTCAAGTGATCTGCCCGCCTCGGCCTCCCAAAGTGCTGGGATTACAGGTGTGAGCCACTGCACTGATCTAAATAATGTATTTTATTTAATAAAGGTTTTTAGATATTTATGGTGGGAGATGTTTTAGGTTATCTGGTATACTGTGTTACCAGGTTTCCAAATCTCCATGCTTTACTCTGAGGTCTTTGAGATTCTCCAGCTGTAGATTTTGTGCTATTGTGGTGGTGGTGGTATTCATCATGGAAAGGCCCTATTTTGTCATTACTTGCTATGTGTATGTTTTCTTTGCTTTGACTAATGCCCACAGGTATTAGAACTTTCTATTTCTGTTCATCGTCTAAAATTTCATCCTCAGAGAAATTTTTCTCAAATTCAAGTTTTTTGTTTTTTGTTTTTTGTTTTTTGTTTTTTTTTTTGAGACGGAGTTTCTCTCACGTTACCCAGGCTGGAGTGCAATGGCGCGATCTTGGCTCACCGCAACCTCCGCCTCCCGGGTTCAGGCAATTCTCCTGCCTCAGCCTCCTGAGTAGCTGGGATTACAGGCACGCACCAACATGCCTAGCTAATTTTTTGTATTTTTAGTAGAGACGGGGTTTCACCATGTTGACCAGGATGGTCTCGATCTCTTGACCTCGTGATCCACCCGCCTCGGCCTCCCAAAGTGCTGGGATTACAGGCTTGAGCCACCGCGCCCGGCCAAATTCAAGTTTTTTCATAGCAAACTTATTTTTCTTAAAGTTAATGGTCAAAATGATTAATCAAAATGGGATAACTTTATGCTCTGTTATAACCATATTTCTTACTTTCCATTTCTGGTCTCTATTTATGAAATCATTTGTGTTGGTTTACAACTACTTTTCTTAACATTAATTCATTCCTAAAGTCAGTTTTGTCAGAATTTCACACAAAGTGAGATGATGTTTCTTTATAACTTTTTATGCTGGCATGAAACATACTGCCTTCACCTAAGCTCCTTGGCTAACCTTCAAAATTTTGATGAATTGAAATATTACTACATATCTCTTTGATGATTTCTTATTCTTTGTGCCCGTTAATGTAACAGGAATATGAGTTTTACTGTTTTCTAGTCATTCCTTTTAGAATTCTGCTAAGATTTAAAAAAAAAAAAAGTTTCTATTTATGAGTTTTATTTGAGGGTATAAAATACCAATTGATACTTTTTATATCAGCCAAACTCTGAAAATATAAGCCCTTCATAAATACCATATAATTGTTATCAAGAACATGCTTATTTATTTAGGCACTGTGCTAGATGCTGCAAAAAACAAAAACAAATACTCCCTGCCTTCAAGGAGCTCAAATTCTATTTGGAAAACAGACAAAAACTATAACCCTGAAGTGTGATGACTATCCTGGTTCAGAGGCCTCTGTCGGAGTAAACTCCTAAATAGAATTTTTTTTAGCATTTCTTAAAAGTAAATTTATAAATTTAGGAGTATAATCATCAGATAGTCTTTTAATACAACTCAGGAATTACCACAGGCTATTAAATAAAATACAGTAAAGTACAGGGGCAAATAAGTTTAGCCTAGAGACTAGTCTTTAGTAGAAGGCTATAGTTATCCCATTCAGAAGGAGCTTCTGAATACTTCAAGCAAAGAACTTGCTTAGCCTATTTATTTCCAAAAGAAATTTGTCTTCTGTTTGTTTGTTTTGAGACAGTCTCACTTTGTCACTCAGGCTGGAGTGCAGTGGCACAATCTCAGCTCACTGTAACCTCCGCTTCCCAAGTTCAAGTGATTCTCCTGCCTCATCCTCCCTAGTAGCTGGGATTACTGGCGCCCGACATCACGCCTGGCAAGTGTGTGTGTGTGTGTGCACTTTTTTTGGTAGAGATAGGGTTTCACCATGTTGGCCAGGCTGGTCTCAAACTCCTGACCTCAGGTGATCTACCCACCTCGGCGTTCCAAAGTGCTGGGATTACAAGCGTGCTCTACTGTACCCAGCCTAAGCCACCATGCCTGGCCATTTCTTACTGAATGATTTGAAAGTCTTAGAGAATGAAATAAGCTTAATTTTTCAACAAAACTAGACAGATGCCTTTGACTACTTATTGTTCTTATGGCTCTTCAATTGATAACGGCTCAGAAAATATTGTTTTTCATTTTTATCACAAGTAGACTGTGTTCTCTCAAGAGAAAATTATGTTGGGGAGAAGAGAAGCTCCTTAAGGGTGTTTGTCTTCTGATTCCTGGATTGCCATTGCCTAGATACAAGTGTTAACTCTAGATGTCAGAATTGCTACAACAGACTGATACTGTTTACCTTAACAATTAATTACAGGGAGCCCAGATTCCACCTCTCCTTCCAGCAGTCCTACTTTCTGGAACTACAGTCGTTCTATGGGGGATTATGCACAAACTTTAAAGAAGTATCAGTATCAGCTTGCCTGTAGGTCTCAGGCCCCATGTGCTAACAAAGATGAAGCTGATCTCACCTCTAAACAAGCTGCAGAAGAGGTAAGTGGAAAATAAAAGTGACTTAATATTTATGATTTGTGCATTGCTAGAAAGCCTTCTACTTCTGGAACATTTTTTCTGTAATCTTCCATTCTCCTGGACAGAAACATAAATCTGGCACACATTAAGCAGTGGGAAGGCTCCTGCCTTACTTTGTGTACTTAAAACTAAAAACTAAATTATTTCATACATTTTACTCTGTGACACACAGTTCACCTTAGTGCCCTGCCTGAAACATATTTTTATATTGATTATAAAAAGGCTCTCAGGTATATAATTGTACTTAACATATACAGAAATCTTGCTTTTAAAATATATTTAGATTGGAATATTTGTCAGTAATTTCATCACTTAATTCCACCAAATATGGAATTTTTATTTTCTTCTTAAAAGCAAGAAAAATGTTCTTTACACATACCAATGTAAGGAACTTTTAAAGATATAACTATGAACAGTACTTATAAGTGGGTAATAAGAAAATTACCAAATATTAATTAGATGAATATTGGTATTTGGGAAATTTTTTTCCTAAGTTCATTAAATATTTTTTAGGGTGGGAGAAAGAATGATGATTCCTGGCAAGATTTTTCCTCACTGTTCATTTTAAACATGATTTTATAGGTTTGGGCAAGAGTGGCTATGAATAGACAACTTCTTGATCATATGGATTCATGGACAGCTAAGTTTAGAAATGTAAGTTCTGACATTACTCTTTGGATGATATTAGTGTCTCTTAATATACAATGCATGCTATTAGAATATCATTTAGAGTTCATTATAAATTAGAATATTAGAGTTATTATAAAGGTACAGTATGAATGGCACATATATAAGGATACACTTATTTTTATGAGATTTTTCCTTCTCCATATTTATTGAATTGATACCTTTTGAGAAGATAAAGGAATAATATGTTTAGTTATTAAGATCCTCCCTTTTCCACTTCTCAATTTTATTTTCCAAAGAGCTTTTCTATTGGAGCCTTTTATGTACCCAGAAATGTAAGGGAAACAAAAATGAAGTCCTTGCCCTCAGAAAACTTAGAGTTTAGAGAGATGAGACCACATATGCTTGAAGCTATTTCAAAATAGATTATGATTTCTATTTTTCTAGAGAAGTACCCTCTAATCTTGGGCCAACTTTTCCCTATACAGAAGGAGTTAGTTTCCTTTTTTCAACTCCATGTCTTCCTCCCATGCTCTGTAGTACCTGTGACCTGGGTTCTGTTAGGCATATGGACTCCTCCTCCTACTACGTGGAGCTCCACTTAGCTTCAGAAGGGGCTGTTACTTCTGTTGTTTCATCCTTCAGCACTCATGCATCCATTCTGCATCTTCTAGAACTATATTGAAATCACTTGTGCTCATTTTTAATCCTTTCACTGTTATTTAAATAGGGTATCAAAATAGAGGGAGCAAAAAATGGTAGCCTACTTTCTTGACCCAGAAACCTGGATGGCATTTTACAGATAATTCCTGAACCCAATCCTAGACCTACTCAATTAGAATTTATGAGGGTGGGGCCTAGACCTCTCTCTGGGACACGTTAGATGATTTTGTTACAGCCAAAGAGTAGCTGGCAAATTAAGATGCATGTAGTAAATGTTGGAAGAATGAACGAGTAAGATCATGTCCTGGAACTGGAGTTTGTTGTAGTTTCTGTTACAGGCTAGTCTAAAAATGCTAATGTGTTTAAAATATGAAGTCTTAGGAGTTAGCTAGAGTTTTTGGAATTTTTTTTAAAAAGCAATGTATGTATACCTGTACCATATATTTTATAACACCAGAGTCTAGTTAGCACCCAATAATCAACCACATTAATACTTCTGCAGAAAAACATGAATAGTCACACTCAGTGGGATAAAGTTTATACATAGCTTCATGTGAATTCAGATCAAGTCTTGCCATTATATCAAAATTTGCTTGCTTAAATGGATTACAAAAAATGTTTTACATTCCCAGAAGGTTTTTATTTCAGTTGTTTATAATATCGTATTTCACCTGAAACATTTTTTCATCCTTTCATTTTATAGATAAACAAAAGATGGAAACAGCAGTGACAATTGAATTTGCTACAGGCACACACACAAAACAATAGCACACAAACCAGATGGAATGTATCCTTAGACAGTCTTTTCACCTCCCAGATTTAGTTGTATGTTAGCCATAGAAAAGGCATTTGAAAGTCCCAGTCCTAAAGTAATACTGTAATATTTGCAAGCCAGTTTCAAATGTAATAAGCTTGTTTTTCCACATGGTTAGGGAATTGGGTGAGCCTGCCGAGAGTTAAGCAGTTATGTTAGTTTGAGAAACTATCTTACTGATCACAAACCAATGTAAACAGTACATTAACAAATGTATGAAGTTACCCTACAAATGTAAACTGAAGATTATCCTTTTAGCTAAACTTAATAATTAGAAAATTTTAAGAAAAAGTTAACATATAGCTAAAAGTTTTATATTTTTTTCAGAAAAAAACATATTAAGAATGTAATTTAGTTCATTTACACTCCAGTGGCCTATTTATTTAACCATCTCTTGATTTCGGGTTGCGATTACTTTCATTCTTTTTTCACTATACTTTATGATTCTTTTAATATACAAGTATAAGATGATAAAAAAAATTCTTAAGAGTTGCTTGTAAAAAAGAAAGTAATTATTTGAGAGCTGCTTTGGAATCCTGGATCCAAAAATCTGTGCCTTATTTCTTCCTAGTGGATCAATGAGACAATATTAGTGCCACTTGTTCAAGAGATTGATTCTGTCAGCACACAGATGAGACGAATGGGTTGTCCAGAGCTACAGATAGGAGGTATGTGGCAACAGAGTCCAGTGTTGGGTTTCTGTCAGTAAATCTGCCAGATGGAAAATTTCTTCCTGTAATGGACTGCTTAACTTCTTTTGTTACCTTGAGGTGAAAAACAAAAAAATCCAAATGTCTATAATCTAGTTTCTTGGTTTTTTTTAATGTGACCGCTTTATCAAGATGTAACTTACCTACCATATAATTTATCCATTTCAAATGTACAGTTCAAAGTCTTGGGTTGTGCAACTATCACCAGTTGTCAGTTTTGAAACATTTCATTTCTTGGAAAAGAAACCCTCCACCTTTGACCAGTCACCCTGCATTCTATACATTCCTCCCAGCCCTTTGCAAGCTCCAGTCTATTTTCTGTCTCTATAGATAGGCTTATTGTGGATATTTCATATGAATGGAATCATAGAATATGAATGTGACTTTGTGACTGGCTTCTTTCACTGAGTATAAATGCTTTCAAGGTTTGTCCATGTTGTAGAATTTATCATTATCTCATTTCCTTTATTGCTGAATAATATTCAGAATAGATCTACATTTTGCTTGTTCATTCATTAGTTGATTGACATTTGGGTTGTTTGCACTTTTTGGCTACTATGAATAATACTGCTGTAAACAGTCATGTACAGGTGTTTATATGGACCTCTGTTTTCATTTCTCTTGGTATATGCCTTGGGGTAGAATTGGTATATGCTGAGCTGTATGGTAGCTTTGTGTAATCTTTTGAGGCACTGCCAGACTCTTTTAAAGCAGCTAGCTGCACCATTTTATATTCCCACCAGCGTGTTTGGGGTTCCGCTTTCTCCATATTCTTGTAACACTTGTTAAATGTTTTATAGCCATCCTGTAGTAGGCATGAAATGGAATCACATTTTGGTTTTGATTTGCATTTCCATGATGACTACTGATGTTTATTGGTCATTTGTATATCTTCTTAGAAATGTCTTTTTGGATCCTTTACCCGTTTTTAAATTTGGTTACTTGTTTGTTGAGTGGTAGATGTTTTCATTATGTATTCTAATATAAAACCAAGACTCTAGCAGATGTTAATCACAAAGTTGTATAAAGCATAAAGACTATGTAATAATGTAATTCTCTGCCACCGATTTTCAACTTTCTTATCTGCTAAAGGTAAAATTTTAGGGTACTATATAAATTGCCTAAAAAATATATACTACAACTTAGTTATTAAGTAATTACCTTTCAGAATATATAAAGAATATTTTAGTCCCCAGCCCCTTCTAGAGAATACATTTCTCCTTGAAAAATGTGAAGTACTTTGGGTTGCATCTTAGCACTTTCCATTTACTTTGGGTATCTTTGTTAATCAGTCTTTATTACCTGAACTAAGAAAAGAAGTGTGCGTCCCTAATGTGTCTTTTTATTGAATGTCCAAATGTTTTGTGTGTAATTAACACAGCACTCACATTAACCTTGAAAGCTGGCTGTTATTGCCCCATCTTATGGATGAGGCTACTGAGACTCAGTGACATTGATGATACTGACCCCTGTATAGGCCTAGGCTAATACAGCAGTGATTTGAAGACAGAATTCTCTGACTCCAAAGCCAGATTGGGCACTTTCTAGGTCTTGGCAATATTATTTGAAACCTGTGCATATCCTTTATAAGTTATAAAAGCGCATATCTTTCACAACATTTCACCACTGTGATACACTTTTTAAAAAAAATAACAACATTGTATCACTTCTCGGCCTTTTGGCTAAGATCAAGTGTAGTATCTGTTCTTATTTAAAAAAATAATAAAATAATAATAACATTGTTTTATCACTACAAATGCAGCATACATTTATTGTAGAAAATTTGCAAAGTACAGAAATCCACAGAAAAGAATATCACCTATAATTCTGCTTCCAGAGATAACCACTATCAATTTTGAACCACTGTCAATTTTAATTAAAATTGATAGTGGTTGGCCGGGCGCGGTGGCTCACGCCTGTAATCCCAGCACTTTGGGAGGCCGAGGCAGGTGGATCACGAGGTCAAGAGATCGAGACCATCCTGGTCAACATGGTGAAACCCCGTCTCTACTAAAAATACAAAACATTAGCTGGGCATAGTGGCGCGTGCCTGTAATCTCAGCTACTCAGGAGGCTGAGGCAGGAGAATTGCCTGAACCCAGAAGGCGGAGGTTGCGGTGAGCCGAGATCACGCCATTGCACTCCAGCCTGGGTAACATGAGTAACAAAAAAAAAAAAAAAAAAAAAAAAAATTGATAGTGGTTATCTGAAATACTTGATTTCTATATTTTTGAAGAAAATACTGTGACTTGACTTTATACATAGTATATAGGCCATATTGGCCACATAATGAGGTTTCAGTCCATGACGGACCACATATGCAACAGTAGGCCCATAAGATTATAATGGAGCTAAAAAAATTCCTATTACCCAGTGACTTATAGCCATCTCACGGTTGTAGCAAAAGATATTACTCACATGTTTGTGGTTATGTGTTGCAAACAAACCTATTGCACTGCCAGTCATATAACAGTATAGCACATACAATTATGTACAGTACATACTTCACAATGAACAACTGTGTGACTGGTTCATCTATTTATGTATTTACTACACCATACTTTTTTTTTTTTTTTTTTTTTTTTGAGACGGAGTTTCGCTCTTGTTACCCAGGCTGGAGTGCAATGGCGCAATCTCGGCTCACCGCAACCTCCGTCTCCTGGGTTCAAGCAGTTCTGCCTCAGCCTCCCGAGTAGCTGGGACTACAGGCGTGCGCCACCATGCCCAGCTAATTTTTGTATTCTTAGTAGAGACGGGGTTTCACCATGTTGACCAGGATGGTCTCGATCTCTTGACCTCGTGATCCACCCGGAGACTGAGCCTCACACTGTCACTAGGCGCCAGGCTGGAGTGCAGTGGTGCGATCTCGGCTCACTGCAGCTTCCGCCTCCCAGGCTCAAGCAATTCTCCTGCCTCACCGTCCCGAGTAGCTGGGACTACATGTGCGCGCCACCATGCCTAGTTAATTTTTGTATTTTTTAGTAGAGATGGGGTTTCACCATGTTGGCCAGGATGGTCTCCATCTCTTGACCTCGTGATCTGCCCACCTTGGCCTCCCAAAGTGCTGGGATTACAGGCTTGAGCCACCGCACCGGGCCTACACCATACTTTTTATTGTTTAGAGTGCACTCCTACTTACAAAAAAAAAATAATAATGAAGGCCAGGTGCAGTGGCTTATGCCTGTAATCCCAGCACTTTGGGAAGTCCAGGCAGGAGGATCACTTGAGCTCAGGAGGCCAAGATCAGCTTGGACAGCACTGCAAGACCTACTCTACCAAAAATTAAAACAAAAAATTAGCCAGGCATGGTGAAGTGAGCTTGTAGTCTCAACTACTCAGGAGACTGAGGTGGGAGAATCACTTGAGCCCAGGAGATTGAGTCTGCAATGAACTGTGATCATGCCACTGCACTCCAGCCTGGGCAACAGAGCAAGACCCTATGTCAAAAAAAAAAAAAAAATCAACTGTAAAACAACCTCTTCAGGACATATTCCAGAAGAAGGCAATTTAGAGGAGATGGCAGCTCCATGCCTGTTATTGCTCCTGAAGACCTTCCAGTGGGACAAGATGTAAAGGTGGAAGACAGTGATATTGATGATCCTGACCCTATATAGGCCTAGGCTAATATGTGTTTGTGTCTTAGTTGTTTGTTTGGGTTTTATTTTCATTTTTGTTTTTGTTTTTTGATGGAGTCACACTCTGTTGCACTCACTCCAACCTCTACCTCCTGGGATCAAGCGATTCTCCCGCCTCAGCCTCCTGAGTAGCTGGGACTACAGGCATGTGCCACCATACCTAACTAATGTTTTTTTTGTATTTTTAGTAGAGACAGGGTTTCGCCACGTTGGCCAGGCTATTCTCAAACTCCTAACCTCAGGTGATCTGCCTGCCTCAGCTTCCTGAAGTGCTGGAATTACAGGCATGAGCCACTGCGCCTGGCTGTGTCTTAAGTTTTTAACAAAAGAGATTTTTAAAAAGCAAAAATAATTTAAAAGTTAAAAACTGAAAGTAAAAGAAAAGCTTATGGAATAAACATACAAAGAAAGTATTTTTGTATAGCTGGCCAATGTGTTTGCGCTTTAAGTTGTTTTTACAAAAGAGTCTAAAAGTTTTTTAAAAACGTAAAAGTAAAGTAAAAAAGTTACAGTATACTAAGGTTAATTTTTTATTGAAGAAGGAAAATTTTTTAAACTAAATTTAGCCTAAGTGTACAAAGTTTATAGTCTTCAGTAGTACATGGTAATGTCCTTGGGCTTCACATTCATACACCGCTCACTGACTCACCCACTCAACCAGAGTAACTGCCAGTCCTGCCAGCTTCATTTGTAGGTTATTGGTCATATGATTTTGTTACCTGCTCCCCACAACCTTTTTCCATTTTGTTAAATAGTCTCCAGCATTTTTTTTTTAAACTAACCTGTCTCACAATAATCTCCAGCATTATTTTTATGGCTAGGTTGTATTTCTTTTTTATATATACAATGTTTAACCAATTTCTAAATTCAAGGGTTTTTTTTTTTTTTTTTTTTACTGTTACTATACCAAATCTTTGTGTACATTTGTAATTATTTATTGAGAATAATTTCTTCAGAGTTGTATGTCAATAGGTATGAATATTTTATGATTTTGTTGTTGTTATTGTTTTTGAGACAGAGTCTCGCTCTTTTGCCCACGAGGGAATACAGTGGTGCTATCACAGCTCACTACAGCCTCAGCCTCCTGGGTACTAGAGATCCTCCCACCTCAGCCCCCTCCAAGTAGCTAGGACTACGGGCACACACCACCACGCCTGCCTGGTTTTTTTGTATTTTTGTAGAGACAGGGTGCCCAGGCTGATCTTGAACTCCTGAGCTCAAGCAGTCCCTCCATGTTGGCCTCCCAGAGTGCTAGGATTACAGGCATGAGCCAGTGCACCTGGACATATTTTAAGGTTTTTTTATACACATTTCTTTTCAAAAAGCTTATGCCAGTTTATACGCTAGCAACCATGACACATATAAGAATGCTTTTCCTTACATTGGATATTGCTAGCAAGGTTGGATATTTTGAAATTTTTAATTGTTTTTTAAATTTCTATGGATAGTTACCTTGCAGGATATGATAAGAGAAAGAGAAATCACTACCAAAAAGAGCTTCCGCTTTCCTGGCATAAATGGCAACTTCTAATTCAACTTACTTTGAAAATGATTATGTCTCCTTTTATACATGTCCTGTAAAAATTTTCTGTATATTAGTTGTTCATAGATTTACCAGATCGATTTGGCTGCTTCTCTGGGGAAGGGGAGGGATGTTGTATGTGTAAATCTGGCTACCTTGCCAGATTAGTTGTAGGTAAAGTAGATCGTGCAAATTAAAATGAACTATTAATTGCTTTCTTTCATTTATTCCTTCAACATTGAGTGCCTAATCTGTGCTGGGTATTAATACTATTCTAGACATGGGGAGATACAGCAGTGAGCAAAATGGCCAAAGTCCCTGCACTCATTAAGCTTTCATTCTAGTAGATGAGACAGATAATAAAAGAGATAAAGTACACGGGGCCAGGCACGATGGCTCACACCTGTAATCTCAAACACTTTGGGAGTCTAGGGTTGGTAGATTGCTTGGGCCCAGGAGTTTAAGACCAGCCTAGGCAATATAGTGAGACCTTGTCTCTACTAAATTTAAAAAAAGGAAAAAAGTCAACCAGGCATGGTGGCACATGCCTGTAGTCACGGGAGGCTGAGATGGGAGGATTGCTTGAGCCCAGGAGATTGAGGCTGCGGTGAGTGGTGTTTGCACCACTATACTCCAGCCTGGGCGACAGAGCAAGACACTGTCTCAAAGAAAAAAAGAAAGTACATTGGACAGTGGTTAGTGCTAAGGAGAACAAAAGCCCAGGAGGGTGGTGGTATTCATGTTTAGAGAGGAGGGGTGAAATTTGAGGTGGGATGGTCAGGGGAGGCATCATTGGCTTATATAAAGATTTGAAGGCAGTGACAAACCAGCTATATGAACACATGACAACAGCCTTTTAAGTTCTTTTGGAAACTCACATTTAGAATAATCTGTGTTCTCTGTTTTAACAGAGGCTAGTATTACTAGCTTGAAACAAGCTGCCCTGGTTAAAGCCCCTCTCATTCCGACTTTGAACACAATCGTTCAGTATCTAGACCTTACACCGAATCAGGAATACTTGTTTGAAAGGATCAAAGGTAATTATTGATTTGAAGAAGAAAAAATAAGAGCTTTTTTACTATACTGGAATTTTATCAATAAAGATTAACAAGAAAAAACTGTTTTAATTAAAAGTATACTTTATGGCTTATAAATACATATCTAATTATGGCTTAATGGTTTTATTTTGTGTAGGAAGCTTGAATATGAGCTAAGTGGTCTCCAGTGAATATTTCACTTATTCCTACTTTTAGACTCATAAGAATGGGCGCCACTATGACTTTCTTTCTAATTCCAGTATGCTGAGCCTTATTTCTCTTAATTCTTACAACTCCTATCTAATAAGTTGCTTCCTTATATATCTGTTATATTCTTATATTTGGTGGGAGATGTGAGCTTCTGAGATACTGACTTGAGAATCAGGAAATGTAGCCCCTCTGTCACCCCCACACACCCTTTATGCCTCTCTACTCACAAAGGAGTTCAAAAGTTAGAATTTTTTTTAATTGGGATAAACTTTTTAAAAGGTTCTCATCACTAAGACAAGTTTTAGAAATAGTATTCAAATTTATCATAAATCTTAATTTGGAAGTTGTAATGTTCTCTCTTTCCCCTAAGGTTAGATCAGGATTCAGAAATAAACATTTTGCATGACTTTTGAAAACATTTATATAAGGAGAATTTCAAACATTCACAAAACTAAACAAAATAGTGTACATAACCATCTTGTATACATCAGTCAGCGCCCACAATCACTAGTCCCTGGGTAGCCCCTCCCTATCCATACCCTATCCACTTTATTCCTGTATTATTTGAAGCAAACCCTACATGTCATTATCAGTTCATCTGTAAATATTTCCTTGTATATCACTAAAAGATAAGCCTCCTGCAACCCCCTGTTTTTGAGACAGGGTCTTGCTATGTTGCCTAGGCTGGTCTCCAACTCCTAGGCTCAAGCAATCCTCCCACCTCAGCCGCCCAAAGTGCTGGGATTATAGACATGAGCCACCATGCCCAGCTGAGTCTTTAGAAAACTAATAGAACCATACATAACCACGATACAATTATCATTCTTAATAATTTTTTTTTTTTTTCGAGACAGGGGCTCTCTCTGTCACCCAAGCTGGAGTGCAGTAGTGGCACTAGTGCAGAAGTGTATAGCTCCCTGCAGCCTTGAGCTCCTGACCATGGCAGTCCTCTCTCAGCCTCCCAAAGTGCTGAGATTACAGGAGTGAACCACTATGTTGCCTGGCCCTAGTATTCTTTATGTTGTGAGATATTAAGTCTATATTCAAATTTCCAGCTATCTCATAAATTACATAATTTCGGCAATGTTTGTTTGAATTGTAATTCAAGTATTGTAATACATTGCAATTGGTTATTTTGAGCTATATGCTTCCCATCCACCTTTTTTTTTTCCCTTTGCAATTTATTTGTCGGAAGAACTGGATTGTGTTTGTCTTGTAGAGTTTCCCATAGTGTGGGTTTTGCTGAATGCATCCCTATGGTGTAGTTTTACATAACCCCTTCTCTTTTCTATAGATTCGTGTTTGAGTTTTTTGGCAAGATTGCCTTGTAGATAGCAGGGTATCTGTACATTAAAAAAAAAAAAAGTGTCTGTGTGTGGACACATATAAACAAAGTATATAAAGATATATCATATACACAAAAAAGCTTAAAAGAAGACAGTGAACACTGTCCTCTTAGATAGTTAGCAACATTTTGCCATATTGGATTCTTTCTCTCTCTATATATAGACACAGACACACACACACACACACACACACACACACACATTTTTTTTTTTTTTGCTGTACCATTTGAAAGTACACTGCAAGGGCCGGGCGCGGTGGCTCAAGCCTGTAATCCCAGCACTTTGGGAGGCCGAGGCGGGTGGATCACGAGGTCAAGAGATCGAGACCATCCTGGTCAACATGGTGAAACCCCGTCTCTACTAAAAATACAAAACATTAGCTGGGCATAGTGGTGCGTGCCTGTAATCCCAGCTACTCAGGAGGCTGAGGCAGGAGAATTGCCTGAACCCAGGAGGCGGAGGTTGCGGTGAGCCGAGATCGCACCATTGCACTCCAGCCTGGGTAACATGAGTGAAACTCTGTCTCAAAAAAAAAAAAAAGAAAGAAAGAAAGTACACTGCAGACATCATTACTTTTTAGTATGCATTCTCCTACAAGTAACAACATTCTCCTACATAGCCATGATACAATTACCATACCTTAAAAAATAATAATTTTCTGATATCGAATGTATTGTCCATATTCAAATTTTCCCTACCCATCGTCTTCTTTTGAGAACCCTGAGTAGTAGTCAGATAAATCCAAAATCCCACAGTTTGGATTCTCATTTCTTCATGGTGATGTTTATCTTTTTTATATCTTGTATTTCTTTAGGTTGGGTGTTTTGATCACATTTTTAAATTATTATACTCCCTTATTATATTCCCTTAATATATTCCCTTAGCCTTTTATTTTTTTTTTCTTTTTTGCATACTCTTAGCTTTTAAAAATTTCACCTTGTTGCCACAGAACTTTCTCAGGGAGGTTGTATGAGTTCATTTCGATGGAACAGAGGTGGTGACTTCAAAGGACGAAAATGGGATACAGACCTGCCCACCGATTCTGCTGTAAGCCCCTAGATTCATTCATTTTAGTTATTTACTATTGATTGATTTGACTGACACAGGATCTCACTCTGTCACCCAGGCTGTAGTGCAGTGGTGCATTCACAGCTCACTGCAGCTTTGATCTCCCAGGGCTCAAGTGTTCCTACCAGCCCAGCCTCCCAAGTAGCTGGGACTAGGCCTGCGCCACCACACCCAGGTAATTTTTTGTATTTTTTGTAGAGATAGGGGTCTCACATTTTTGCCCAGGCTGGTCTCAGAGTCCTCGGTTCAAGTGATCCCCCACCTCAGCTTCCCAAAGGGCTTGGGTTACAGACATGAGCTCCTGTGCCTAACCCTTAGATTTATTTATGGGTTTTTTTTTTTTTCAGTTTAATGTTTTTGTTATTGGATTTTCGTGTTTTTGTTTGCCTATTATAAGTATTAAATAATTTAGGGCCGGACGCAGTGGCTCACACCTGTAATCCCAACACTTTGGGAGGCTGAGGCGGGCAGATCACGAGGTCAAGAGATCGAGACCATCCTGGCCAACATAGTGAAACCCCATTTCTACTAAAAAATACAAAAATTATCTGGGCGTGGTTGTGCGCACCTGTAGTGCCAGCTACTCGGGAGGCTGAGGCAGGAGAATTGCTTGAACCCAGGAGGCAGAGGTTGCAGTGAGCCGAGATCGCGCCGCTGCACTCCAGCCTGGCGACACAGCGAGACTGTGTCTCAAAAAATTTAGAAAATAAAGTATTTATAATAGTATCAGCATGTTCACCCAACCACTGTTAATATTTTGTGTATTTTTTACCTTTACTGGTGGCTACTATTTTTTAGTGTTTTTATCATAGTTATAATTCTTTTATATGTAAAATTATATATTCTTTTTTTCCACTTCTGCAATATTTAGGGTTGTTTTCTACAGCCTCTTCCTGCCTAGATTTTTTTTTCATTATTATACACTGTCATTTAACTATTCTCCTATAGTGGACCTGAAAGTTTGAGAAACTTGTGGTAGAGAAGGGATTTTCACATATTTTTTGATCTTAAGTAATGTGGTATGCAGTAGTGTGATGCACATTGCTTTCTTTCTGGGGATCGTCACTTTAACAGAGACTCTTAGAATTATATTTAGGAGATCAAAGAACATAAATATTTTTATGTGCTTACAAGCTTTTCAAAATCATATTTCCTTGTTTTTTTTTTTTTTTTTGAGACGGAGTTTCGCTCTTTTTACCCAGGCTGGAGTGCAATGGTGCGAACTCGGCTCACTGCAACCTCCGCCTCCTGGGTTCAGGCAATTCTCCTGCCTCAGCCTCCTGAGTAGCTGGGATTACAGGCACGCACCACCATGCCCAGCTAATTTTTTGTATTTTTAGTAGAGACGGGGTTTCACCATGTTGACCAGGATGGTCTCGATCTCTTGACCTCGTGATCCACCCACCTCGGCCTCCCAAAGTGCTGGGATTACAGGCGTGAGCCACTGTGCCAGGCCCCTCAATGTTTTTATATAGTGCCTGTTAGGGGTGAAAATTAAGTTTTAAATGTTGAGATTCAAATTGAGAATTGAATGTACTTTATCTTAGTTTTGCTATTAACTATTGTTATGAATGATTCACTTAGCAGAAAACTGATAATGCCCTTCTTTTCTGGGGTTGCTATGGAAAAGTGAAAATGAAGATCAAATATGTAGGGAATGGGAGTCTGGTGTTTAAGTCCCACCCTCCACCCCCATCCCTACCAGATAATGGTAACTTTGTAGGCTGGAGTATTTAAACTTTTTCAATTTGAAAAGGAAACCTTCCCATCAAAATACAGACTAATTTGATGGCAAATATATTTTTGTATTTTAAATTTTGAGTAGATTATTTGAATTAAGCCTAGCTTTATGTCTTAAATACACTGAATTTCTTTATGATTTAAGAGAGGAATTTGTGAATTCCTTATCTTTATAGGAAATAATACTTTCAAAAGACTAGGTGTACTACCTGAATTAGGTGTTTTTATCTTTTTATTCTACAGATTTTAACTTGTAAATCTAACTCATTTGACAGCATTTTTTTTTTTTTTTTTTTTTTTTTTTTTTTTTTTAGTTTTAAAGCACGGTGGTTTGTATGACAGCATTTTTATAATTCACTCTTTAGAGAAAAATTTTTTAATTGGAATTGTTAGAAATACAGATGTTTCTAAAGAGCTACATCCATGCTAGATTTTCATGCTGACTTAAGAAAAAAAATTATTTCTTCATCCTCAGATCATCATGCACGTGTTTTGCACCTACCTTGATTCCAGATTACCTCCACATCCTAAGTATCCCGATGGAAAAACTTTTACTTCTCAGCACTTTGTTCAGACACCAAATAAGCCAGGTATAAACTTCTCCTAAAAGAATGTGTTGAGATTTTCCTACAAAATATCTCTGGGGGTTTGGTTTTTTAATGCAGCATATTTCCTTCCTTTATAGATGTCACGAATGAGAATGTTTTTTGCATTTATCAGAGTGCCATCAACCCTCCCCATTATGAGCTGATCTACCAGCGTCATGTATACAACCTGCCAAAGGTATTTCTATGTAGGGAAGGCACTATTACAGAATGTCTGGGGTGATTTGCTTTGACAGTGTTTCTAAAATTATAATCTCGTGTTAATAGAAGTAGTAAATGTTTTAAATTAGGGGAAATGTGTTTCGTATATATATTATTTCTTACTATAAAAGTAATATGTGTTTAATTTGGGAAAGTATAAAGAAAAAGAAGGAAAATCACTCATTCCATTACCTGAGGCAGCCATTGTTGATTTTTTGATTGGTGTATTGCCTTTTGGTAAATTTCATTTTGGTCTTACCTCTTTTTTTTAAGAGGCAGAGTCTAGCTCTGTCGCCCAGGCTGGAGTGCAGGGGCACAATCATAGCTCATCGTAGCCTTGAACTTACAGGCTTAAGAAGCCGTTCCACCTCAGCCTCACAGGTAGCTAGGACTACAAGCACGCACTAGTAAACCTGGCTAATTTATTTATTTTTGGTAGAGACAGAGTCTCTACAAAAACTGTTGCTCAGACTGGTCACGTACTCTTGGCCTTAAGCGGTCATCCCACCTCAGCCTCCGAAAGTGCTGGGATTACAGGCGTGAGCCACTGCACCTGGCCCTTTCTTTGTATTTCTTATGGGCTAAAATTATAGTTTTATATCCTGCTTTTAAATATTAGCTTTATAACATAATTTTCCATATTATTAAAAATCGTCATAAAAATTTTTTTGTTGTTTTGTTTTTTGCAACAGTTTCGCTCATGTCGCCCAGGCTGAAGTCCAGTGGCGCATTCTCAGCTCACTGCAACCTCTGACTCCTGGGTTCAAGCAATTCTCCTGCCTCAGCCTCCCCAGTAGCTGGGATCATAGGCACCCACCACCATACCCAGCTAGTTTTTGGTGAGACAGAGTCTTACTTTGTCACCCAGGCTGGAGTGCAGGATCACAACCTTGGTTCACTACAACCTCCACCTGCCTGATTCAAGCGATTCTCCTGCCTCAGCCTCCCAGGTAGCTGGGATTACAGGCGCCTGCCACCATGCCTGGCTAATTTTTTGTATTTTAGTAGAGACAGGGTTGCACTGTTTTGCACTGGTCTGGAACTCCTGAGCTCAGGCGACCCACCTGCCTCGGCCTCCAAAGTGCTAGGATTACAGGTATGAGCCACTGCGCCTGGCTGTTTTTGTACTTTTATTATAGATGGGGTTTTACCATGTTGGCCAGGGTGGCCTCAAACTCTTGACCTCAGGTGATCTGCCCACCTTGGCCTCTAAAGTGCTGGGATTACAAGCATGACCCAGCATGCCCAGCCTAAAAATACTTCTTATACCTTTCCCAGCTATTTTTTTTTCTGAGACGGAGTTTTGCTCTTGTTACCCAGGCTGGAGTGCAATGGCGCAATCTCGGCTCACCGCAACCTCCGTCTCCTGGGTTCAGGCAATTCTCCTGCCTCAGCCTCCTGAGTAGCTGGGATTATAGGCACGCGCCACCATGCCCAGCTAATTTCTTTTTGTAGTTTTAGTAGAGACGGGGTTTCACCGTGTTGACCAGGATGGCCTCGATCTCTTGACCTTGTGATCCACCCGCCTCGGCCTCCCAAAGTGCTGGGATTACAGGCTTGAGCCACCGCGCCCGGCCCCTAAAAATACTTCTTAATGGCTGTAAAAAAAACTTCACTAGCATAATGTTTTCAACCATTTCTCTCCTATTGTGCCTTTTGGGTATTTCTAATTTTTTAGTTTATAAATACTGCTTAAAAATGTATCTTCATGCATATAGCTGTCTGCATTGCATTAGCCCAGAGCTCTAACTGTGGAATTCTAGGTCAAAATATTTTTAGAGGCCGGGCGCGGTGGCTCAAGCCTGTAATCCCAGTACTTTGGGAGGCCGAGGCGGGTGGATCACGAGGTCAAGAGATCGAGACCATCCTGGTCAACATGGTGAAACCCCATCTCTACTAAAAATACAAAAAATTAGCTGGGCATGGTGGTGCGTGCCTGTAATCCCAGCTACTCAGGAGGCTGAGGCAGGAGAATTGCCTGAACCCAGGAGGCGGAGGTTGTGGTGAGCCGAGATCGCGCCATTGCACTCCAGCCTGGGTAACGTGAGTGAAACTCCGTCTCAAATAAAAAAAAAAAAATATATATATATATATATTTTTTAGAACTTTAAAAATAATATATTACCAAATTACTTTATAATAAAGGTTATTGTATCAATTTATACTTTCACTGATGTGTTTTACTTCTTTTTTTTTGAGGTAGTCTTGCTGTGTTGCCTAGGCTGGTATCAAATTCCTGGGATCAAGCAATCCTCCTGCTTCAGCTTCTTGAGTAGCTAAGATTATAGGCACATGCAGGTTTTTTAGTCTTAATTGCAAGTGTCATTTCTGTTGAAAACCTTTGCAGTTATTTTTGTTACCAGCATCTTTACTGAAAAATTTTACGTTGGCTATAATGATAAATTGTGTTATCAGATTCTCAGAAAAATATATTAATTTTCTTTCTTTTAAGTTTAATATTTTAACTTTGTGTGTAAATATTTTGGGCCATTGAAGTTCTTGTGAATAACCATGCCAATCTTTTTCTGTTTTTTAACCACTATCTTTTTTCCTTTTTCTTACGTATAAACACTGTCTTTTAAAAATCATACATTCTCTCAGATTCTTGAGTTAAAAACACATTAAATCAGAGTAAGTGGGGAAAAGTTAATCAGTAGATTGAATATCTAAAGTAAGAGCTGTTTTTACAGACTAAAAATTACATAGTTTGATTTTAGAGCTAGAAAATGCTGCCTTGTATTCCCTTGCAGTTAAAATAAATTTATATTTTGGCCCGGTACAGTGGCTCATGCCTGTAATCCCAGGACTTTGGGAGGCCAAGGCGGGCAGATCATGAGGTCAGGAGTCCAAGACCACCCGGCCAACATGGTGAAACCCCATCTCTACTAAAAATACAAAAATTAGCCGGATGTGGTGGTGGACACCTGTAATCCCAGCTACTCAGGAGGCTGAGGCAGAAGAATCGCTTGAACCCAGGAGGCAGAGGTTGCAGTGAGCCAAGATGACGCCATTGCACTCCAGCCTGGGTAACAGAGTGAGACTCCATCTCAATAAATAAAAAATAAATTTATATTGAATATGTTATTTATATGCTAAGGTATACTCTGATGTATTTTAAAGTATGACTGAAAGGTTTTTTCGTCCCAACACTTGTTTATGCCATTAATTTTAGGGATAGAGCATTTTTGTGGTGTACAGGGGCACCAACCTCAGAATAGCTCTCCAAGCTCTTTCATGCCTTAGTAAATATTTTTCCCCATGTGTGAAACACGCCCCGCCCCCAGTCCTAGTTTGTTACCTTTCTGCTTAAAGGTAGGTCGCAACTTAAAAATCCTTCCCTCAGGGAGGCATTCTGTCCCTAACCACCCTAAATCAGACACCGCATCTTTGTGTGTTCCTGTGCCACCTACACCTCCTCTCATAGCATTCCTTATACTTTGTTGTAATTCTTAGTTTACTGTCCGCCTTTCCTATCAGGCCTTATGTCCCTGATTACATGTATCCTTTCTGTCTTACTCACTGCAGTATTCCCACTTCCTAGCACAAAGCATAGGCACTTTGTTTAATGAATAAATGAAAGTCTGAATTATATGGAATTCTGAGTTAGTAGGCTATGACTTGATAAGATACGCATTTACCTACCAGATTGAATCTTTTTGATTTGATTTAAATCTTGTTGTTTTTTTTTTTTTTTTTTTTGGTCTTTGTTCCAGGGCAGAAATAATATGTTTCATACATTGTTGATGTTTCTCTACATCATAAAAACCAAAGAGTCAGGAATGCTTGGGTAGGTCTTTATGCTTTAAAAACATAAGGAGTTATTTACTGATTTTCTTCCTATTTTAAGATTCTACGGAAGGCAGCAACATGTAACTGAAAATTTATGGATTGAACAATAGATGATGACTTCAGCCCTGTCACAAACTAGCCCTGCTGTTTTGGGCAGGTCCATTAACTAGCTCTTCAGAACCCATTGGTAAAAGGCAAATGAATGACATCATTAGCATTATAGTTGTGTTCCCTGGAGGAATAACTCAGAGATAGATGAAAATTAGACTCTTACCGTTTAAAAAAGTTTTTTAAAATCTGGAGGCTGTTTCTTTCAAGCCATTTCATTTCATACACAAAACATTCTGCAAGTATTTACACTTCCAGAGAGACTAAGCTGGTACCCGTTCCATAATATCATTAACTGGAGTGGAAAAGCAGTCAGTTGAAATCATTTACATAGTTGGTAGCAAAGCTCACGTATTGCAAGAATTTCAAAATTTTTGTATTGTCATTTTGATGATTACAAATTTTAGTGTATCAAGTGACTTGTATCAAGACCCCAGATAAAGCTAGGGATATGTGTAGCGCCTGATCCAGGAGTTGGAAAACCTGGCTTCTGGGTCCAGCTCTGCCATAATAAGTAGCCTTAGGCTAGCAAAAAAAAGTAGGGGAATGGGCTCGGAGCAGAAGGGATTGTAGTAATTTCCCCTTCTAATATGCATGCCTCTTTTAAGTTTTAGATAGCATCCTGCATGTAAGTTAGAGTTTACACATGTCCTAGAACTGTGCTGTCCAGCCCAGTAGCCACCAGCCCCATGTGGCACTGAACACTTGAAATATGACTAGTCCAACTTGAGGTGCACTAAAGTGTAAAATGTGTAATAGATCTCAAAGACATGGCCCCTGAAAAGTAAGATAACTCCTTAATAACTGTATATATTTGGTACATATTGAAATACTAATTTGGATATATTTAGTTAAGTGGAATATATTCTTAATTTCATCCGTTTCTTTTTACTTTATTAGATATCTACTAGAAAATTTAAAATCATGTGGCTTGCATTTGTGGTTCATATCGTATTGTATTTTTATTGGACAGCACTGCTCTAGAGAAAGCAAAGCTCCTGTCTTTAAATAGATGCAAAGATTCAAACAAACATGAACATTTAATTAGCTTCTTCTTTTTTTTTTTTTTTTTTTGAGATGGGATCTCATTCTGTCACCCAGGCCGGAGTACAGTGGCGCTGTCTCAGCTCACTGCAGGGCCCTCCCAAGTAGGGACTACAGGTGCCCACCACGATGCCTGGCTAGTTTTTGTCTTTTTGGTAGAGATGGATTTCACCGTGTTGGCCAGGCTGGTCTCAAACTCCTGACCTCAGGTGATCTGCCTGCCTGGCCTCCCAAAGTGCCAGACTTACAGGCATGAGCCACCATACCTGGCTATTTGCATCTTTTATCATATATTTTTTAATGTGGGAAAGATTAGGAAACTCACTTTTGTGAGGCATCTAAACTAACAGGGTTTTTTATTTTTAAATTGCGAAAATAATGCATACTCAGTAGGCAAGTATTTAAATAACACAGCAGTGTATAAACTAGAACTAATTTCTGATTATGTGTAGAGACAGCGTCTCACTGTATTGCCCAGGCCGTGATCCACCTGCCTTGGCCTCCTAAAGTGCTGGAGTTAACAAGCATATTCCACTCCAGCTGGCTTTATTTTTATTTCTTTTGCTTAAAAATGTATTGTATCCAAACATAGTACTTTATGATCTAATTTTTAGTCTTATGGTATATCTCAGACGTTCTCCCATGTCAAATTTTCCCTAAAGTTTCTAGGAATGTTTGGGTATAAATATACTTACACATATATATTAGATGGAATTTGATATAACTATGTTGTTAATACAGATCAAGTATTCTTTCTCTGAAATGCTTGGAACCAGGAGTGTTTCGGATTTGATTTTCTTAGATTTTGGAATATTTGCAATAATTACTGGTTGAGTATCCCTAATCTAAAAATCCAGAATGCTCCAGTGAGCATTTCCTTTGAGCATCCCATTGTCACTCAAAAAGTTTTGGGTTTTGAAGCATTTCGGATTTTCAGATTACAGGTGCTCAACCTGTATAATATAAATAATTAAGTTTTGGTTTTAATTGAAAATATATCTTTTCCTCTGTTGATCCAAATTGATATTTTGATGCATAAATGGTTTGTCATGTTAGCATGAGGTTTGAGTGCCATATACGGTCTGTCATATGCATTAAAATGAAAAAGTGCTTAGTGGAACAGTACTTTTTCATTTACTGAAATGTAATGAAATATACTGAAAGGCCAAAAGAAATTGATACAATTTTTAAAATGCTTATCATCTCTTAATGAGCAACCTATATATGGAAAATCAAGCATTTTAGACTAAAACTAGTAAGTGTTTTTAAACTCGGGGGAAAACTTGGAAATTATTAACCTTTCAAACATGAATAATTTTTTGAATACATTCTAAAACAAATGGTTAAAAACTTTCCTGTAACTTAAAGGAAATATGTGAGTGGCTCAAATATAGTCAATTTGGATTCATGACCTTTTAAAGCCACAGATTGATCCAAATACATTATCAATTTAATGCCAGATATTTGTGCAGTAACTGGAATCAAATGAAGGTTCTACTTGCAAAAGAAAAAAAAATCGAGACAGAATTGACTGCATAGTAACTTAAATGTTGTGTTCAGGAAAAGACGCTATAAAGTTTAAAGCAAAATAACAAACTGAAAGCATTAGTCTGCAATAATATGAGCAGTAGTAATTGGGTTTTCAAATATAGCAATTCCAAGCTAATATTTGTTATACATAAAAAACATATATGATTTTATTAGAAAAATGGACAAAGACATGAAAGCTTTCTTTGTAAAATGTGCAGACAGCTCCTAAACACAAAAAGATGCTTAGACTCATGCACAAACAAGTCAAAAAAAATTTTTTTCTATCCAATTGGTATTTATCATTTGTAGTTTTGGTGAGGGTGTGAAGAAGTGGAAAACTGACAGAAATTACATGTTTTGAAGAGCATTTTAGGCAACTTTTTACCAAAGTTAATACATTTCATGATTTTAAAAGTCACATAGGGCTAAAAGTTCATAAGAGGAATGAGCAATTCCCTGTATTCCTCAAGTCTGCTTCCCAAAGTAGACTGTATTCCCCCGTGGCTTTTTCTTCTGTTATTACTCTCATAGTTCCTCATAATAGAGGTATACAGCTCTCTTGATTCTTCAGTTTCAGACACTGTCTGTTGATTTTTTTATTTTGTTAGGTGAGTAATTTCTCTCTCTTATAGCCCTCTTCTCATTCCCTCAGACTTTGAATAGAGTCATATTACTCTCTGGAAGAGAAGTATATGTATTTTTGTTGTTGTCTGCAGTATGGTTTAGTTTAAGACGTATTAATAATCCACATAAGCAAACTCACTAAAGTATCCCCAGCATTTAGTTAATTCCTAATTGAAGTCAAGTCAATACTGTTCTCTGAGAGGCTTGCATCTCCATATCTTCCATCTTTAAATGTGATTGATACTTTTACTTCAGTCTGGCTTATTAAAATTGCTCTGTTAGCTATTACCTGCTGTAATAGTTCTTGTTTACTGAAAAACTAATTTTCAACACTCCATAAATATATTTATTCTAAATTTGGGTTTTAAGCACAGTTAAGAAAGTAATTACTATTACTAGAATTCACCTGTTAAACCATGTATAACATAATTCGTTGCAGAATCACATTAAATATCAATTAAACATGTATTACTCATAAAGATTTTTGTTATTAATAAAATGCTTGAATGCTTGGCAAGCAATTCTAATGAAACTTTGTTTTCTCTTTATAGGAGAGTTAACCTTGGTCTATCTGGCGTGAATATATTGTGGATCTTTGGCGAGTAGCAAGTCATATATTTAATTCCAGACATTTGGACTTTTATTTCACTGAACCAGAAGTTGAAACTAAACATCTCTGAGTCACTGCCTCTCCTGAAATAAAATACATGTGTCTGTATGTTACAGAGTCTTGAAATTTAATGAAAAATGTAGCTAGTATGAAATGTCATTTTAAAAATAATTGCCTGAACCCAGGAGGCGGAGGTTGCGGTGAGCCGATCGCGCCATTGCACTCCAAGCCTGGGTAACAAAGGCGAAATCCCGTCCAAAAAAAAAAAAAAAAAAAAAAATATGTCCTGTAGCTTCTGTATCAAGAGATGTTACCTTTAATTTTTTATCTTTTTCAGGAATTTCAGTTGACTACAAAACTGCAACCCGTCAGATTTTTATTGACTCAAAACAGTGTGATTCCCCTTAATGAAATATATTTCTAGTCCTTTTTTCATTATAATCCCCAAATGAGAATCATCTACCTGATTCTTCCACCACAAAAAAACATTTTTCAGTTTTTTTTCTCTTTTTCTTTTTTTGAGACAGGGTCTCTGTTGCCCAGACTAGAATGCAGTGGCACGATCTCAGCTCACTTCAACTTCTTCCTTCCAGGCTCAAGCGATTCTCCTACCTCAGCCTCCCAAGTAGCGGGGATTACAGGCACACACCACCACGCCCGGCTAATTTTTTGTATTTTTAGTAGAGACAGGGTTTTACCGTGTTGACCGGGCTGATCTCGAACTCCTGACCTCATGTGATCCACCCACCTCAGCCTCCCAAAGTGCTGGGATTATAGGCGTGAGCCACTGTGCCCGGTCTCAAGTCATTTTATTTAATAGTGTAAGTACTTAGAAAATAAGAAAATTGCTGACTTGTTTTTTATGTTTCTTCAGTGTTCTGCAAGTTATCCCAAAGCCCACATTCCAAGAAATGAGATTAACTCTTAAGTAATGTAAAAAAGTGTATGTATATTTTAAAATACTATTAAAGAAGGTTTCACTTGGATTAAATGTAGCTGGTAGAATTAATTTGGATTTTAGTTAAGAGTCTGAGGATATCACGAAAACTGTTTATCACTTTGGTTTTTAGCAAATCAGTTTTACTATTCCATAATACCATGTTACTGAAGAGTTCATCTCTTTTTTTTTTTTTTTTTTGAGATGGAGTTTCGCTCTTGTTACCCAGGCTGGAGTGCAATGGCGCGATCTTGGCTCACCGCAACCTCCGCCTCCTGGGTTCAGGCAATTCTCCTGCCTCAGCCTCCTGAGTAGCTGGGATTACAGGCACGCACCACCATGCCCAGCTAATTTTTTGTATTTTTTAGTAGAGACGGGGTTTCACCGTGTTGACCAGGATGATCTCGATCTCTCGACCTCGTGATCCACCCGCCTCGGCCTCCCAAAGTGCTGGGATTACAGGCTTGAGCCACCGCGCCCGGCTGAAGAGTTCTTTTTTTGAGATCACAGTGATATCCTATCTGTTTAAATTTTTTTCATATGTTCAAAATATCTGGAGGGTGAGAAGTTACCAACTTTGTTTGTTTGACTCGCCATCTTTATTTTCTAAATGTATATGTAGTAGCTGGCAACTGCATATATTTTCTCGATTAACATATTAGAGACTGCTTGCATCATCTATGTCAACCTGGAGACAGCTGAAACTACCCTTTTCTGAAGAACTGTATATCAGTATTATATGTGCATCCCATTTTGTCTTACCTTCAGATTTTGAATACAGTCATATTACTCTCTGGAAGAGAAGTGTAAGTATTTTTTTTTGTTGTCTGCAGTATGGTTTAGTGTAAGATGTATTAATAATACACATATGCAAACTCACTGAAGTATCCCCAGCAATTAGTAAATCCCTAATTCAATTCAGTACAGTTCTCTCTTTGTAAATTCTGTCTTTTAAAAAGTTGTTCATGTTTTTAAAAGTTGATATCTAAAGGAAACTCATTTAAGTGCTTTTGGTGTATGTTAAACATTTATTTGCTGTGATATTCTAGAATAAAATATCAAACATGTTAAATATATGAACATGTTTCAATTTGCTATTTCAAAAGTTACTGAAGATGCCTTGGAGTAACAATTGTTACACTGTTGAACTATACAGTTGCATATACTTTCTTAAAAGCACTATGGAGAGAAATTTTAATGCATAAAACAAAAGGTCTTTTTTTCTTTATAGGACTTAGATAGCTTTTAGTCTCAAAATTCAAAGCTATAATATTTTCTTTTCAAAGTGACTATTAAAAAATGCAGTCTACAGTAAATATATACATAGGGATACACACTTAAAAAGATGTTTTGTTTGCATACTATTAATAAGTCTAGTGTGGATTACTGTACTCTGGGTAGCTTTCCTATATTAACTTTTCTTCCCAAATATTTGAGCCAGTTCATACTTAAATATAGCTTTTTATTAAAAATACTTTGGTGGATTCATTTGAATTCACCCCTCAGGAAGACAGTGCACTGCAAATAAGGCCATTTTTTTAGTCCTTGTGTTAAAATGAATAAATGTCTACTAATATCTCTGATCAGACATTATTTACAGGATATATGTCACAAGTTTTTCTTTGATTGCTTGACTTCTTTTGGGATCAGATCCACTAATCTTCTAGATTACATTCACTTCATCATTTTCTTTGTCTATAAATATCATCCTTAAGCCAGATTTCTTTTAGAAGCATATTAGGTGTTTATAATTTAGTTTCTACTGAGACATATGAATGTTATGTTGTGTGGCTTTCTCAAATGAAAATATACTTGACACTGATATTTTAACAGTAAAAATGCAGCATGCGGGGTGGCTTAAGTAATGTATTAAGTGTATGTATATTTTTAAATATTATTAAAAGGGGTTTGACAGTATTGACATTTAAAAAGTCAGCACTTGGATTAAATGTAGCTGGTAGAATTAATGTGGATTTTAGTTAAGAGTCTGAGGACATCAAGAACACTGTTTATCAGTTTTGTAATAGAAATGCACACATTCCTCAAAGGTCAGTCTTTGGTCCTCTGATTCACTGTATATGCTTTTCCTTTGCGATCTCATTCATTCTACTTCATTTATCACCTCTCTGCCTTTGATTCCCAAATTCATCACCAAGCACAATGTCTCTCCTGAGCTGTAGCGTTAATTTCTGTCTACCTGTCAAACATTGGATATTCTGCAACTCCATGTCTGGAACTGGGTTCACATCTGCTCAGATCAGCTTCTTCCTCTTACATCCCTGTTCTGTTCATTGTACTGCCAGTTGCCCACACTCAAAATTCTGGTGTCATCCTTAATTCCTGGAGCTCCCTGGGTCCCCAGTCCAATCAGGCAGCAAATCCCATCCATTCTTTCTTAACAATGTCTCTTGCAGCTGTACCTTTCCATTTCTGCCACCACTATGCTCATTTACACCCTTATCAATCCACACAAGACTACTGCGGCAGCCTAATTAATCTCACAGCCTTCTAATTGTTGCCATGCTTCCAGATTTTTCAGTTCATCCTGCACATTCTCTTCAAATTCATCTTCCTAAAACACCTGTTTGATCATTTCATCCCCCTGATAAATTCCTTAGCCTGACATTTAAAGCCCTACACAATCTGGCCCCAACCTGGCCTCGTGCACCTAAACCCTTGGCTCCAGCCGGTGCAGGCTGTTCACTGCTCACTGGGTTCTCTCTATGCTACCTCCTGCCCATCCTGATCACTCTCTGGGGATGCTCCCTCCCAATCTACTGTCTTCCCCTGCATTGAGACCTCACTCTAATTAAACCTGCTATTTGGAGCTAGTCCTGACCACTCCAGATGGCAGTCATTTCTCCTCGTGAGTGATTAGATCTATGCCCCGCCTCTGGCACTCAGCAGCTAAATGAATGGACTCAGAAGTGACTGAGTCGAACAGTAGGTCCTCATATTGTCTCATCCTTGCACTAGAACTGAGTTTCTTACTAGTCTGAGCTGTGCCACTGTTCAAGTATACTTGTCAATGGCTAAAACTACTTTTTGGGAAAGCCTCACGTTCATCTCCAAAGGACACCTTTTTATCCCTGCAAGAACACTGGCTTTCCTTTTGTGGCTAGACCTAAGGAGGAGGAAGCACTCCTGGGCCTGGACAGCTGCAGCAGGAGAACTGCTTGAAAAGCAAAGGTGTTAGGAAAATGATGTAACTCATTCCAGTGCTTCTGGGGGTCTTCCTTAGTAAGCTGGGGGTGAGGGCACTGCACTTATGTGCAGGAGCACAATATTGCCCTAAATGCTACAGGGACCACTGCGGGGCGGAGGGCAGGAAGGACTAGCTGGCCTGTCTGTCCTGGGTGGCTTTAGTCACAGCTGTCCCTGGATGTGGTGAGGTCAAAAGTCTTCAAGGATAAGCAGCACACGGCTGGGCTCTCTGGCAGGAAGGCTTCAGGAAAGGACCCGTGTGGCTCTCTGCCCAGTTAGAATGAGGGTTTTGTACAATCAGCACCTACACCTCTTGGACCCCGGTGGCATTGCCATATCTCACTGGGTATTACCAGTAGCTTTCTGCTGGGTGTGCAGGATTGTTAGGCATTAGCTCTGAGCCACATTATAATTTGATCCCTGGATGTTCATCAATAATAACATTTTCCAGCTGAATGAACTGCACTGACTTGGGATGGGACAGGTTATGGATTCTACAGAGGGCGGCACCTCAGTCGGAGTTAGGAAGGAGAGTCTTAACGGGTGGATGGGTGTGGAGAACAGCACTGCACCCTGCCTCGGACAGTGGCAACCCTGAGGATATTTCTTAGCAAACTTGCATGCCGACAGTCCCAGGCACTACTGTGCATGAGATTTGTATGTAAATCCTTTTCTGCCTCAAACCAAAATGAGTATTTCAAAATCAGTCTGCTTAGAAAAGCCACTGGCCTCAATGCACTGAGCATTGTCATTAATTGGGAGGGGACAACTAGTCTTTCACATTTATTTATTTAATTTTTATTTTTTTGAGACAGACAGACAGTCTCACTCTTATCACCCAGGATGGAGTGCAGTGGTATGATCTCAGCTCACTACAACCTCTGCCTCCTGGGTTCAAGCGATTCTCATGCCTCCCGAGTAGTTGGGTTTACAGATGCCTGCTACCACACCCAGCTAATTTTGTGTTTTTTTAGTAGAG